TGTGCAAGCAAGTCGGGTCGGAGTTAGGATTTCGAATATCCACTCTTGCAATCAAGTCTATAATTCTTCAACTTTTACTCCAATTGTACATTAATTTTTTCGTTAGACACTTCCGTCTAAATTCAAGATGAAAGTCAAACTTCAATTGAAAAGATTGAGTTATAATTATAATTTTGGTCTACGATCATAATTACTTGATTTAGTATTTTTAACAGTTACATCCGAATTCCATCTTCTGAGTAATTATTTTCTTCATTGTTTTGACCGTTAAACAAACACGTGCGACTAAATTGATAGATTGAAAATGATACTCACGTCTCATCGTATCTCAATCTGCTCCGTCAGATTTGAAAATTGTCGTTAAATATTTGGATTTAGGTCTAGATTAATTATTTGTTCTTACAACTAACCAATGGACTATGAAGAATTCAGATGCACTAACAAGTCTAGCATTGATTTTCTCGATAGATCACTTTGCCACAACCAAATATATTGATTCGAAAATATTATTATTATTATTATTATTATTATTATTATTTCGAATTAACAGAGAAATTCCAAACAAAATAAAAACATGCAAAAATATGAATAGAAAGCTCTAGTCTCGAAAGGTAACATAGTTCCAATTTTCAGGAAGAAACAGACAGATTTGTTGTTATTCTTGTTTTGTAGTAAACACGATTTTGTTTGTTTTTTATTTGTCAAAGTCAGACACAGATTTTCAAACAAAAATCCTTTTTGCACTTTTTCTAATATTCCCATCTTTATATCGAACATTACGAACGGGCCATCGCGGGCCTCACCTCACCATGCATTGACCACTTTATATTCAGGCCTGTTTGAGCCAAATTATTATAGAATGAGAAATGAAAAATATAGTCGTTATTGGGACCCACACAAAAGATAGAAATTTTGAATTTAAANTTAAAAACAATATGTTAAAATTCTTTTTTATTATGGCTCTGTTAAAGCCACCTTATTGTAGAATGAGAATGAAAAATATAGTCGTTATTGGGGCCCACACAAGAGATAGAAAATTTGAATTTAAATGTTGATGTGATAGATAACGGTCATATTTTTCATTTTAATGAAATAATAATGTAGATCAAACGGGACTAAAATTTCAATAATTTGTTAATTTCTTTGCTTATGGCTTGTTGGAGCCCCATTTTCTTGAAAATTAAAAAAAAAAAAAAAATTTGCCGTATTGTTATGATGTAGAATGAGTGGTTAAAAAATAAGGAAAATTTTTGAATTTACATGTAATATTATTTTATTAAAGAATGTGTGGTTGGAATTGGTCAAATCACTGTTCAAGAATATATTTTGATGGAAAAAATGGAGTTCAAACAATGGTTTAATCAATACAATAGATACTTAAACTGAAATATTTACAAGATCAAAGAAATAATTTCTTTTTGTCTTGTTATTATTGTACCCGACTTTTCATTAATTGGTTTCCATCATCTTCAATGTTGTAAGAAAATGGACGTGTGAAATAAAATATGTCACAACACGACAAGAACTAGAAAATACTATGTTTTTGAAATTAGTTAAGACAAAATGTTATGAAAATATTGTAGTTGTTGTAATTGAGAATTTAGCTAACTCTTAGTTGTAGCCCACAAAATGTCCAAAATAATGTGCGACTCTTAATTGAAGTTTGTCAAATAGTTTGGTCAAAAGTTTCAATGAAGTTTCCTCCTAATGTCGTTATGAATACGACATGGCACCGATAGCGTTGAGCCTTCTTGATTTTCATGGGTGGTCAAGGGTGGATTGGACGTCACACAACGTGCATAACTTTTCCTATCACTAGTTCCTACCTCCGACTGAATCGTTTCCAAGTTCTGTAGACTGTTAAATAGAAAAAATAACTCTTCTCAATACTCATGTTCGTGTCTCAGACTTCTTAACGTTATCCACCACATACGTGCAAGTCAATTCATTTGAACACATCGATAAATAAGAATCTTAGTAAATTAACTTATTTTTGTAACCTACAAAGTACTTATAAGTGATTCCATTTAAACAAGTCCAAGAGTAGGAAGCTTCATCTCACCCTTGTAGGAGACAGGGATACTTATGTTGCCAATTACAGGAAGATCAACAATTAAGCCCAAATCCAAAACATAGTCAACATCCCAATCTGCACCTATATCTTGGGCCAAGCCCAATAACCCATTATATGGCACCTTTATTGTCACATCCAACATTGTATTGTCATTGGCCTTCAAGAACCCTGGATCTGGAGCTTTACCAGATGCAATCTCCCTGGTTCAAACCAATTTAATTAAACAAATAAATTATAATCGATTACAGATTATTCAAGAAAAAAAATTAAAATTTTGTTTATTTTACCTTGAGAAGTAAAATGGGATAGACTAGGTCGGGCGGTCTAGCAGGGGCAGAGCCATGAATATTACACAGTGCGGACACAATTCTTTTGATGTGTTCTTATCCTTTACATACTATAACAATTACTTCTCAATTATTGTCTTTATGACAAACATAGTCGCGCCTGCTTTGATTCTCCACTTTTTTAGAGTCATGATTTTCTTTGGCACTATCATGTCACTTCCATCAACTACTTTCCATAGGACTTGCCCTTGAAGATAAAACTTTATGCTAGTTTGTCATGTGATATAATTTTAGATTATTGAACTTTTTTATTAGGTGTACCACTTGCAAGTTGTCCATCTTGACTTAATTTACCTTTTCGTAATCAATCAAACGTTATAGAAGTTTTAGAATCTCCCTTTGTACATGAATTCCAAAAGTTAAAAAAATTCGTCTATAATTGCTATGCTCTAATATCAAATTGTTGAATTTAAATATTAAAGAAACAATTTAATTAATGAAAATTTGTGTAATCTTTTGTTACAAAAACATACTTCTCTCACCAAAGGCCTATACATGCCACCTCACTATCTACAACA